GAAGTCGCACTGACACGCTCAGAGTGTTCCCTTTATTCTCCTCCTCATTAAGGAAAAACCTGTCATTAGAAGAATCTATTTAAAGCAAGCAAAGAAACGTGTGAATCTATTTAAAGCAAGAAGGGAAATGTATTTGGACTTTGATTATGGCAATTAAAAAACCCCTGCTATTCAAAGCTGGTGATTTTTTTTTATTATTTAAATGATGCTTCACGTTCTTCTGAGACATTTTACTAAGAAGGATGTTAAGGGAGGTGATAAAAGGTTACTTTTGTCTTTCAAGCTGAAATATGTAACTTTTATTTCTTATCTGCCTAGAATTAGAAAAGCTTCAATACCATATATTTTAAAGGACTCATTATCAAAAGTCACCAGACTTCATAAAACAAATAAATGCTTCTCTTCCTGCCCTCGTTTAATCCCAGGCACAAAATTCTTCTGTGTTTTGAAAAGGAAGATTTCTTTCAACGTTTGATGGAGCAATAGCTTTTTATTTTCAAACTGCACAGCCTGTAGTTAGGAAGCCGTAACCACCTTCCTTTCAAAGCATGAGAAATGGGATGGTTGTCAGGAATGTGTTTTAAGAGGAAGGTTTAGACAGAATAGGGTAGGCAGAGAAAAACAATGTTCTTATCTTTGTTTTTTTAAATCCAGAACAAGACTAACATGCAACTTCAAGTGGCCAAGTAGGTCAGATCACAATGCAAAAGAAAGCACCGTGACACAAAATCTTAATTCTCTTCACCTCCTACTGATTTGAATGTTGGAAAAGTTTTGTACCAGCTACACACACAAAAATTTCTACTGGCAACATACACCAGGCTGAAAAATCCTATGATGAATTTCTTTTTCATATACTTTCAAAGTTTTGACTACTAATCCATCCTGCTGAAATTACGTCATTTCAGATCGCCAAACAGACTTGCAAAGTACCGGGTTTAGATAATCCATCCTTAATTTTTCCATCACTAATCTCCATGGCTATACTTCCTACTAAAATCCAAATTATGTTGGTCTAATGATATCAGGATCCTGCTTATTCACTTCTGAACAGATAAGTAGGTAGAGTTATTTATAATGCATTTTTGATGAGAAGTAAAAAGTACATAATCCATGCCCAACATATAACACAAAAGGACGAAATAGCAGAATTAAGGATAAAGAATATTCATATAAGTCAAGCATACGTATGTTTTATCTTTCCAAATAAATGTGAAAAGTTACACAAAGTAAATTTACATGAGCTGTCCTGTGACCTCTGAACTTCAGCTCCTGAATTTGTCACCTACTGTTTAGGTAAAAGAAACAGGCTTTCTACTGTGAAATAATAAGAGTGTTACAAGAGCATATATAGGATTTCCTTCAGTGCCCTCCACCCAGCATTAAAATGCTTGCTGGGCTGCTGCCAGTGCCAAGGGAGGGATGGTTTCAAGAAGGAACATGTTGGTATTTGACATGGTCCCAGTCCACATGAATTGAGAGAACTGGCAGCAACATCCTTAACAGCAAATACTTCCAGAGATGAGAGGTTCTGCTTCTGCCCTGATGCACAGGGACCTTCCTGGGGACCCTCAGAGCTGGTTCCTGGCCCTGGGAGGGAAGGAAGGGTGGGCACTGCTGGTCCTGCTCAGCACTGCAGGCTCCAGCACTGCAAACAAAATTCCTGGTGGGCCAGGGCTGCTCCTGCATCGCCCAGGGGGATTTAGGGTAACGAGGCCCAAGGTAGGGGAACAGGTGGCATTTGGTGCTGCTGTCTGCTGGGATGATGTGCTGCCTTCCATTTACAGGAGTTCAGTAATACCCAGCACAGGCAAATACCAATTCCAATAGCACCACAGCAGTAAAAGTACTCAGCAATATGGCTAGCTGATAATTATGCCTTCATCAAGAGGCTTAATTTCAAAAATAAGTAACGTCATGGATTCTTCTCCCTCTGCCTTTTATCTTTCCAAGATGATCCATGCTCCTCTTCCAAACTTAACCATCCCCAATCAAATCCACTGATAAGCCAGTCCAGCACTAACTTTTTTGCCTGTGCTGTTTCTGCAGATGCAGTCATTTAAATCCAGAAATATAAACAGAGAAACTGCCCAAATCCAACTGCTAGCCTGTATTCTAACAGTTCTAATGGACTCTGAAGCTTTTGTGATCCACGGCACATTCAAATTCCCAACACTGCTGCAAGATTAACTACAGGGACAAGGGTCTGAGCGTCAGAAAAGGAAGAACTGGCACAGGATCTGAAGAGAGACACTCCTAAGGTTCACCCAGGAACTGCAAAATACATCAGACCATTCAGCCTCTCAAACTTCAGGCATTTACAAAGCATAAGTGGTTTGGCCTTACACTTCAGAAACCAGCCCTTTTTAACATGCTTCCCTCTATGACCTTGAGCTAAACAGAATTCTTTTAATTTCTGGTTGACTCCAAAACTGGACCATGTCAGCCTATTATTAATATTGTTCTAACTACTAGCAAATTATTGTTTTCCTCTACACTTTAATTAAAGGACATCTACCCTTGTGATAGACATTTAATAGCTGGTAATTTTTTTTGAGATCTAAAACATTAAGGATGTCTTGTAGTGACTATGTGTTAACAGACATGAAAGTTCACAGTGCCCCAGTAAATAGAAAATCTATAAATGACAGTGTCACAGAACTATGGAAAGATCCTTGAAAGGACTTATGTAAATAAGAGAGAGCACAAATACTGCTTGACAGTTATCAAAACTAAAGAGTTTTTAAATTTTAAAAAAATTTAAATTTAATTTATTTTTTTTACTGTCTCCACACACAAACCCCAAGACTCAGTGCTCACATGATGCACAGCAATTGCACAGAAGGTCTTACCTATTTGTGACTTTTAACAACTTAAATGTTCATGGAGCCCAACGTGCTTGTTGGTAGATGGTTATTGACACCACCCCACATAACGCAGAAACTTTAAAAAGACAAGAAAAATAGTAGAAAACTCAGTTGCTCCCCCTAAAACTCCAACAGAAGTCAGAGCAGGGGAGGAGCAGCCAGCCCATAAACACGATCCTGTGCAGTTACACAGGTTGGGATAGCTGGGCAAGCAAAGGTTCTGAAAGGGAAACCTCATACAAAGCCATTTTGCACTGCAGATGGGAATTAGAAGCAAATACATGTCTGCCACAAGGCTAAGAAAAGCTTTTCTTTGCTCTGAAATCTCTAGAGCAGACTGAATTTACAGGCAGAACATACAGTGATATGGCTATGAAAAGTGATCCACAATTTAGCACTGAGGAATCATAACTATTGCCCTCAAACTGCTGCAATTCAGACTTTGAATTCAGGCCTGAAATTCAACAAAATGCAGAGACTGGAACGTGGCAAATCAGAAGTGACTGAGTGGGAAATACTGATGGCCTTGAGAGCCTTCCCTGAGCTGAGGTCACACAATTCCATGGAGCTGCACAGTTAATGCTGACATTCAGTTTATTGTAGTGTTAGATACTGAGCTATACATTGCATTTGAATTCAAAACAAAGAAAAAAATTATACATATATTAAAACCAAAACCACTTTGCCTCTATCAATTTAATTAAGCTTGAACATGTGCCTATAGCACAATGTATTCACAACCAGCAGAAGCAGGGGAAGGAACATAAATGATATTTAATCAATTATTCAGACACAATTACCACCAAGTGTGCTCATACAAACTTTTTCTAGTCCATCTCATCCCATCTATTTCAATATGAATTATTCACTAAAGAATTGGAAAAATAATACCCACTGAAAAGTGAAAAGCTTCAAATTGTGTCTGTTTTGTGAGAAAAGTTTCAGACAAAATTATCAAAATGTCCTTCTCAGTCTTAAACAAAATGTTTCCATTTTCCCTGATGAAAATAATTCTTCATTTCAAGAGCAAGTAACTTTGAATTGTGCAATAATTTGAAAGAAAATTAACACTTTGAATTTATAATAATATTTTTCTTATACCAAAACAATATTTATACAGTTCTTTAAAAATTATAATCTCTGTAAGAAGAAAACTCTCTCTTCGGCTCTAATTATTCCAAATATGCAAAAACATCCACATTTGGCACTTGAATTGTGTGACTGCAATCCCTGTTCTTGTAATTGTTACTGAACCAGGGAAATACAGTATTTGTTTAAAATAACAATAAGGCATACCAGTAATCATACTTTATTTAGTAAAAACAATTGTTATTACTCAAATTATTAAAAAGAATGCTATCTAACCCCTGGGAAAATCTTGTGTTAAATTGGATAAATTGAAATTAATATCATTACATTTACAGAAGGCATTTTATCCCATTTTTACTTCCAGCACGTTTCAGTTCACAATTAGAAGAGATACAATGAACCTGCCAAATGAAAACAATTGAATAAACCCTGAAAAATGTTTAATTTTTCCTGTTAATAAACAGACCCAGTGAGAGTGGAGGTACTCAATAACACATGGCCCACAATCCAACATCCACAGTTCATTATGGATTTTAATTCTCCAAAACAGAAGCATTTTTAGTCTCCTCACCTCTGCTTTCTGGGAGTGTATTGTGTGATTCTGACAGCTGCAGGATGTGCTGGACTTCAAAGGAAAGAGGAAACCAGCTTGGGGTGTCTTTTTTGATTCCAGCCCATTGTGACCTGATGCTGCACAGACAACTATCCATGAAACTGGACTGACACTGTATTTGCCAGCTGACTGTTCCTATTTCACAGGATATTTCTGGAGATGTTATGGTAGCAGACAGTGAAAAAATATAAGCCTTAAACAGAATAGCTCAGGGTTTAGAAACACTGTCAAGCTGTATCATTAATTAATTTCTCTTTCAGAACAAAAAGTAATACAGTGAACATTTTCCAGCCCTCCATTGTTTCCATTGTCTCCAAGTTTTCTCCTAGACAGCAGAGTTTGTAGAGAATGACCCTCACAGATGGCGTCTGGAAGACCCAGTATCCCAGAAATAATATCAACAGCTATCAGCATTTAAAGGAGTCACTTACATTAAAACAATCTACCGAAGTTCCATGCAAAAGTTCACCTCTTTGAAAGCCAGAAACAGTGAAGTGCACCTGCAGCCATATCCAATAGATCTTTAAAATGACCACCTGAAAAGAAAAAAGTTCTTTTTGTCAAGCTGAACTCTCAAGACTTCCTTTATACATCATAAAAATCTGAAATGCATATTACTCTTACTATTTTTTATGTCTGTAATCCATTCTTTTGTGTATCTATAAAGTGATTCAAACAACAGAAAGGGCCTGAGTAAAGACTTGGTTTTCATTTTAAGCCTGGAACAACCAGGCTTGCCAACACAGAATTTCACTTATTACATTTAACATGGAAAACTATAGTCTTTCAAAGAGAGGAAAGTTACATTAATCTCCAGCAAATGGGACTTTGGCTCTCACTCAGGGTAAGTCATTAAGCAGTGCTACTTCCATAATAGCTTTAATTAAATGTGTTCTCTTCTTGGTCAGGTTGGAGACCACAGGAGGGCACAGCTGGCTGGCTGAGTTTTGGGCTATGATGGCACTCATGGCCAAAGCCAGAGACAGTTTTGGATCAGCCCTGCCAGCCTCAGCACAGTAGCAAGAGGCAAAAAGAGATAGATCCAAGAGTGACTCCTGTATTTGTAGCTGGCCAGCGGAAAAGGGGCATTTTGTTGATACCCTGTGGAAGAAAAAGTAGCACGGGACTGCTCTGCTAGCATGGAAAACATCTTCTGTCCTAAAGTGTGGCCAACAGAGGTGCCACCGATCACAGCTGGTACACTCTGGGCTTTCCACTGAGGGCTTGGCTTTGCAGACATTTCTGTATAATCAGATAGTCAAACTGGATCTTTCTGTAGTCAGAAGTGAGCCCAGTTCCATGGGCTCAGGTGCAGTTATGGCTCAGATAGAAATTAAAATGGTGCCAGTGAACCAGATTTGGTTCAGCTCTCTTGATGACCCTCCCCAGCTGGAATCCAGTTCAGGGCTTGGTGTCATAGGTGTGGGTTAAACAGCTCAAAAAATACATCTGGCCCAAAATTGTCTGCCTGAGCCAACCAACACAGCAATCATTATTCCCATTTTCAGGAAGGAATGACTTGCATCACATGCCACAGGGAACCTAGAATAGAACTAAACCTCAAAGCTGGTAGCCCAGCTTGCTCCATCATCTGCCTGGAAAAGATGGTGCAGACATGAAACTGTTGTTTAAAACTCTCTGAAATCAGAAGGATTTTGACCCACATGGACTCATAGGTGTTCAGCATCCATGAAAAGTAAGAGCTGCATAAGAAGGATTAAAGAAGACAGAAAGAAAAATGCAACTGTTTTCTTATGGAGGTTGCTGAAATAGATTTCCCCTTTATAACTATGCTGGGGAGCTCAGTAGGAAAGCTGATTTATCCTGTGAGTGCACAGCAGTTGCTCCCTGCTAGAGCTGCTGTTTAAGTTTAATTGGAATACACAGCACTTGTGCAATGTTTAGATCATGGAGAACATCTGAAAAAAGCAGAAAGGCCCCCTCTCAGTTCGATACACTTATTGCTGTTGTGATCCTGATCACTGAACCCAAGTGGAAATATGAACCACCAAATGATTTCTTTGCTGCCTGTTTTAGTCAGTGGCTCCAGAGGCAGAAGTTGCTTCTTGCAGAAGAGAAGAAAAACAGGCCAAGACTGGGTAACTCAGGGGACTGGCAGTGGGATATGGAGCCTTTCATCTACAGGTCACTGAATCCAGCAACCAAAAAATTCTTACCATCAAATGGAGGTTCAGTGGCCTAAAAGAAATCATTTAAATGGCTTCTGCTTCATACAGGCACTTGCAGCAGAGAAATTATTGCTACAATTAGCAGAACTGCACAGTCATCAGTAAAGGTTTCAGTGATTTTTTACATTCTCAGAAACAGAATTGTGACACTGAAAAAATGAGTATTTTGGCCAAGAACATTTACCACTAACCTGAAGGTCTAGGGGGGGAGGGTGTCCCATTTTTATTATTCTTTGAGGTTTATTTAGCCTCCTTTGGTACTTTTCTTTGCCTTTCCCCATGCTGCAGATCAGAAGGTAAAAGCCTTCTAAAAATGGCTTTTCCTAAAAAACAATTTACACAAATACTGTGAGGTGAAAGATTGCACCATCCAAACCAGAGCCTTCCACTGTTAATACATTCGCATTTGGCTCAAACATTAAACACAAAGCATTTGTGAAGACTTCCCATTTGCCAGAGAACTGGGGAGAGTTTTTGCATAATCTATAAAATCCACAGCATTTCAAGAGAAACTTTAACAAACGTTGCCACAGAGGAACTTCAATATTAGAGCACAAGGAACAGTTAAAAGCCTCCCTGATGTAACACAAAAGTGCCAAAATTAGGCTGAGGGATTTTTTTAAATTTATTTTTCCCACCATTTTGAACAAACCATCCCAGAAAGGTTTACTCAGCTGGAGCTGTTCAACAAAAATTTTGCCGACCCTTTCTATTTAATGTTACCACTCTCTGTGACCAGCACTAAACCCAGAGGAGTGAGTGGTTTATACATGAGGCAGAATCCTCCTCCAGAAGCCCTAAACAGCATTAACATGCCCTTCTTAACTGAGAAGCAGCCGATACCAAGCATTTGGGAACTCTAAGACCAAGGCTGGATTCAGGCAGAGATATTCCAGTTAATATTTCTGATTTTATCAATCTCATTATGCAGGTACAAGTGTTACAGCAGAGGCCACAGAGTTACTCACAGTTTAACAGTTAAAGAGATGCTTGTGCTAAATAAATTTGTGCAGTTCCATTGTGAAAATTCTGAGTCCAATAGGTCTCATCAAATCTTGTTGCCAAGATTGCTTTAATAGCATGTTCAGCTGCAGAACAAAACATGCAAGGGCAACAGTTCAAGAGCCTTTTCTACTCTGGTGAGTACATGTAATGTTTCTGCAGTTAGAAAACTCATATATACACACACATGCTCACTGGATTTCTTTATTGATTTTTAAAAAAGCTCTCTGCATATTTATGATAACAGTTCTGCAAAGCACTCTGAGCATTATGCAATTTAAAGCCTGATGAGTACCAAAATGTAATATTATTTTTTTTAAAACAAAATTATTGTGCACATTTGGAAGATGCAAAGAGATTGTTGAAAAGCTGGCAGTATATGACAATAAAAATGCAATTATGTCTGCAAAACTTCATATGCTTCACAATATAAAGTGTTATACAACAGCACTAAAGATGTGTTGCACAGATAGTTAGAATTTAATTTGGGGGTATGACAGATACCTGAGTCCATAACAGTCACTCCAGCAAGCATCCTTTTAGGTGCATCCACAAAAGCAAACAATGCCTTTCCTATTTCAGAATAAGGTAGTTATTACAAAAGAGACAACCTTTAGAGAAGTGTATGAATGGAAAGCCCAAGGTTTCTTTCTAGAAGATAGAGAACTATTACAGCAAGCTGGGATTTTGTAAAGGTTAGGCTTCACAATTCTGCCTCTTGATTCTCTTGTAATAAATGGCTCATTTATTTGAACTTTTGGGGGTCTTTTTGACATATTAGTTATGTGGACAATGTAGTTTGACCTGTAATTCTCAGCTCAGCAGCCAGGCATATCTCAGACAGTCAGTGTTCCTCACGCTCAGCTCTGTCTGTAGAACAAGAGCCAGTTCCAGCACATGAGCCAGTTTAAGCACTGTAGATAAAAATCTGGTCCCAGTGCAGCATCATGACTTCAGAAAAACAGATATTATACCATATATCATGTAATTATATTCCTGGAGTGAGGAAGAAACAAAAAGTATCTCAATGAGGTATAGAGGCAATTAAGTTAATTGCTATCCTATAATGTTTTAAGAGAACGCCATCCTTTTCCAAACCCTAGGCTTCCACTGCAATGATTCTTTGTCTGTTCTCAGCTTTGTAGAATGACAGCAAAAATCGACAGGAAATCACTGGCTTTGATGCAGAAGAGAGACTGAGAGCCATGGCCGAAGTAGAGACTTTTCTTTATTAAATTAATTGCTGCACCAATTTGCACAACTATCAAACATATCCCATCAGTTGTGCTTTTCCTTTCCAGATGTGAGGGGCTACCACAAAGAAAGGGTGGGAATGAGAACTGAAAAAAGCCACAGCAACACATCACCCTTCCTGTGAGCCCTAAGAGTTGAGCTGAAGAGCATCTCAGCTCGATAACCTCCTAGGAGGCACTGCAGTCCCCCTCTTGTGCTCTGTGAGGCACAGGGTTAGGATGGTGTTTGACCATCCTGTCTCAGGGAAGCAGAGCCCAAACTCCCTCTGACCTGCAGTCTCCTGCAGCCCCTGCTGTGCTGTGGAACAGAGCAGCCTGACTCCAAAGAGAAGACACAGAGCAGTACCGGGGAAGTCCCACCCTTGCCAGTGTCCCCTCAGGGTAGGATTCCAAACTACAGGAGTCAAAGCTGAGCCTGGAGCATGCTGCTCACAGGATGTGCATCCCACAGGCAGGGATGACAGGGTACTGATGAACACCGGTAACCTTTTTCAAAATGGAATTCAAATAACCTGGGAGACAAAGGAAATCTTTAGTAAGGTAAAACATGGCTGAAGAGGAGTGACTGGTTTGTCATGTTTCTAACAGTGTCAGTATAGGAATAGCAGGGGAAAATAATCCCTTATGATAGTTATGGGTGGCCAATCCCACGCACACATTTCTGCTCCCAAAATCATATCTAGTTAAAAATTCTCTACAGTCACCGTGACTGTAACATGCCCTGAAGCTCCTCAGACCTCAACCAACCTACTCAGAGAATTTCCACTTCTGACACACTCTCTGTGTCTGTATTTCCATACCCCCATATTCCATATTCTTGTGCCACAAGACACATCTCAGCCTGTCCCGTTGGGAGGTCCCTCGGGCATCTACAGGCAGCTGACACTTGCTGCAGCTTCAGCATCTATCAGGGAAACCATATGAGCTCCTTCCTTGGCAAATGGCTCCTCACTGGAAGAACAGTTCCCTTCCTGTTGCTGCAGGGCTTTCAGAAACCTCTGTGAGGGCTGCAGGAATTCAGAACTCATTGATACAGCTGGTAGGAAGCAAAGAGAATGCAGTGATCCAGCCTCCAACTGGATCAGATGTGTTATAGACAATTGCATTTGTCTATAACAATGGTACACCATAAGCTTTTGGGGAAAAAAAAGATGATGGTAAAGCCTTTCTCCTATGAGAAATTACCTTGGAGATGATGTTAAAGCCTTTCTGTGACTCTCACCCTCCCCAGCTTGGTACTGCTGGTTTCTTCAATCACAAGAAATCCAGTTACCCCCTACACAACTCTATTTCTCTCCCATTCTATTGAGTCAGATAGTACTTAGAACCCTTTCATTCTCTTTCCTCTGTGTTCATTTTCCACTAAATATTATTCTCCTGGGTATCTGCAATGCCTAATGAATTAAACAGTTTGTATTAACATGTTTAATAGAAGAAACACTTCCTAGACCAATGTATGGCACACAACTGTCACACTTTGTGAGGTTGCAAGGTAATCATTTTGCAGGCACTGACTCTAGAACAGGTTGCCTATTACCTCACACATACTTGTTCTTCTATTAATTATGTTAGCATAGCCAAATGATAACATGGCCACTATATTCCTAACTAATATTGCTACAAGGTGTGCAGCTGCAGCACGATGTTAGCCACAGGGGTACAAAATTACTTATAATATCCATCACTTTTGGAGGGATAAGAGAAATGGGACTTAAAATCCTTAATGTTCTGTTAAAACACTGAAAGGAACGGTATCGAGGGATGAGATAAAACACCGAGGTTGTAAGGAATTAATGATACACGAAACTGTATCTTTTTGCTCTCTGAGTGATCCGGTAAGTCAGGACTATCAAACAAAGGTCAGGTGAGAAGCAGCTGGAAAGCTACAAAAATAGAGCAGTTAGGGGGGGAGAAAAGCACATAAAAATGTCATTAGCATATCTTTGTTAAAACCTCACACCCAAGTATCTAATTGCAAGGGTAACACCTGAGTGCCACCCTCCTTTGATCCACACTTTGCTGTCCGGAGCTGAGCAAATCATCACTTGACTGAAGTTCTTTTCTTGCCAATGGGTAAAATACCTCAAAAGCAAGCAAGTTGTGCATATTAATTAGAAACTCCTCAGCTGTTTCAGTATTTCCCACTTTGTACCCACCAGGCACATGCTTCACACGTTGCAAGAGCATCAAAACAATGTATGTACATCCAAAAACTCTCCATTCATCTCACCCTTTGGGAAAGCAACCACCATTTTCTGCTCTTTGTAAACCACATTTTGTATAGCAAATGGGTTATTAATGCAGTCCATGTGTGTGGTCTAATCCTGGCACTGCAGGACTGCAGGTAACAAACATGGTCCTGAATTTAGGACTTCACTGTCTGACCCATGAGGGAACACTTAGCAGTCTTCTACAGTCAGCCAAATTCCTGAAATAGTTAAGAATTTACTGTGCATAATCTCTCTCATGATGTCAGAATAATCTCAATTTTTCCCCGAGGTTGCTTCAGAGTACTTGTGAGAGAGAAAATCATTCGACACTGTGGTTTCCTCAGCACTGTTGATGAGCTCTGTGGCCTGCAAGGCACAGTGTGAGCTGGGAGCACATCACACAGCTCTGCAGCATGGAAGAGTTTGCCAGAGGTTAGGGACAGTATCTGTAGCCTTACTACCTCCTGCTCTGGGAAATTCTACTGGGTAAAGCTGAGAAAGAAAAGGTGGGGGAAGAAAAAAAAAAAAAAGGGAGAAGAAAGAGCAAGACTCTGCTCCAAGTGAATTCATTTTGCAGTAAACATCATTCTCCAGAGCACCAGAGAGCAAACAAGCAATAGCTAATGCAAAATCTCTCTTAAAAGCACGATCACGAATTGAACTATAACTGTGGGATGGTTTGTGCACTGTTCGAGTTTCAAACTTCATCATTACTTTACATCACCCATTAACTGTTGCTCACTGTTTGTAAGTTTTCTTACACTGTCAGCACAGGAGGATCCCTTTTAAAAAAAATGGCTTTTCTAAAAGAAATTTGGTCAGCCTTACATTC